CACGAGGTGTTCGTTGTGACACATTCTGAAATCGTGGCTCGAGTCTAAATTACGCTGTATCCATATATTTTTTTTCCTCTTTAAAGCATTATATCCATGAATATTTAATTAGTACCATTAACATCAGTGTTTGATGCAACACAGTAAAAAAGTGAGATCTTAGTCAGATTACTGTCAGGTAGATCTCTCTTGAAATGAGATCATTATTTCTCGAAATATATGTAAGAAATATATCATATAGAATGGTGCAAGAAAACTTATGATTCTCATGTGATGTTTCAGATCGATTATATATAGATATACACACGGAGCCAAATAGTGAATAAACAGTCGTCATATATATACAGAACGGTTAAAAGTACGACACATTTTCTTGTCGGAACCCATGACACTATAATTCACTACGGAAAAATTCGACACATTTTAACTTAGAGTGTAACCAAACTGAAGGTTTACTTCAGTTTTACCAGTCCAGTTGGTGGCTCCCATTATAAACAACTTACCTCGGTAAATCGGCGTTTTCGACGAATACCGCAGTTTTCCACTAAAATAATTTGGTTAACCGGTTCATGGACGATCCTTCAAAATTTTTTGCTCTGAATCATCGATTTCGCTATTTAAGATGTTTTTATTTCTAAACTTTCCGATGGGATAAATATGTAACAAAAAATCACGGGTTTACCGCGGTTTTATCGATCCTGTTAGCGACTTCCATTACGCATGATTTACGGGCAGCAAACCGGCGGTTTACCTCGAAAATTCATCCGATATTTACAAATATAGAATAATTTTAAGAATGCAAAGCTTTTAGTAGTAGATTATTCCGTTCTCCACTATTATAGTAACTGCTAATGCATGATCGTTGATCTCATCATACTATTCATTTAATGACAGATTCATTTATATCATGCGGATAACTGGTAATCGGTTGAGGTATAAATCTTCAGGCACTTAAAACGGTTAGGAGTTATCATTAGTTTCGCCAAGTAACTTTAAATCGATCTTTCTAAACAGGAGTTTGGATTTGTTAACAATTGAGAGTAGCCAGCATTAGAAGTAGTTAGTTAATAGCATAAAAATAACCTTTCTTCCTAAACTAAATTTATTGCAGCAAGTCATTTTATCAAACAATTGGAATCCCAAATCATGGCCTTATTCTTATGCTGTGTTAAGACTCAATATCAGCAATAATAAATCAATAGAATTGCGGGCAATCAACACATTCAATCAGATTTCTGCTCGACAAACATTAAGTGAGTTGCAGTTGACCTGTTGTGATGCTACTGTATCTATATTTTGTAGATTCGAGTGATAAAGAAGTTCATTTACGTTTACGCGATGATATGCAAAAACTAGAAGTTTTGATCAAGTTTGATGAACCTATCAGTGACGCGAATATACTGGGTAACTGGTGTGATGCTATCAGAATTTTTATCATCTATGGTACATTTTTGGAATACATACTCTGTAAGTTTGCACGCTACATGTTGCCTGTGCTGAAGTCAATATTTTCGCAATCATTTCAATTTTAAACATGCGAAGAAACATTGTATTATATAGAATAGAATAGAATATTCGTGTATTTCTCAGAAAATCATTAAATCACGTCAAAATGTTTCAATGAGTTTCATGAAAACATCAATTAATATATGAGATTTCTTTGATCGAGATCGTTTGTGAAACTTGATCTGAAAGGAGTGTTAAAGTGTTTAGGGTTGAAATTTTGGATCCATATTCCCTTCCTCGCCAGAGATCGTGACAGAGAACTCCAGAGATTCATCACAGGCTGATACGAAGAACTCCAGAGAACCGTCATAGGCCGTGCCAGGGAACGCCGGAGACCATCATAGACTGCTACAGAGAAACTGTAGTTTTAAGCATTGAATTAACGGTAAACTACAAATCTATCATGAAGAAAGGGCACAAAACGTTCTTCATTTGATCAGTAATAATAGATTCATCGTGTTTCACACTTTTAATGCCACAAGGGATTGCGGGTATTCCAATATGTAGTACAAAAGCATTTATTTCCTTCTAAGCAAAAGGAATCCATAAAGAAAAACGGCAGATAATAAGCTTAACGTTATGTTTATGTTTCTTTGTTCTTGCATTAGTCTTACCTGCAATAATATGATTAAATAATTTGTATATAAGTAAAATCCTCTCGAACTTCGAACACTAACAAAAAACAGAAAATATTTTCTTATGTACTGTTAAAATGCAATTTTTTTTCTGACTCTCAATTACATTCTTTTGTTAGCGTTTCGTATCTATAATTTATTTTGATTTATCTATTAATAAAGTTAGACTCTTTCCTTTGAGTTAACAAGGCTAAATAAATGGCTCGAATACGAAGTTTTAAGTTGAATCATTTTTTAGTTTCGATCATTTTCATAGAACTCAGGAAACACTTGCATATATTTTGAAAAATAGGAATAAAGCGTCATATAAACGAGTATTTACAACATTATTCATTCATGAAATCATACATAGCAGATTAAAAATGATTTTTAAAAGAAATGATTATCTTTCGAGTAACTTATACAGAATATGAGAAAGAGTATCTTTATGTTGAGGAATAATTTACGGAAATAAGTGATATTCATTTCAATAATGTTGTTTGATAGTACACGAAGTCATTCATTAGCTTCGTCATAACACACTGCATTTACTATACTTTCTTTAACGTCTGCTCTTTATGTATGACTGCAAATAGACAAAGTGATGACGTATTTGTATTCTCAGACATGATACTGGTAACTTTGTAAGTTTGACACGATACATAGAACCGTTTAAAATGTAAATAATAAAATAGTAAAATACAAATTTGATTTTATTCTGCAATCGATTCTAATCTATTCTTTTGGTGTTAATCGCGTTGAAATAAAAATCTGTTTATTTCGAAAAATCATTTGGTTGATACCAAAGAAAAACAGTTCGAGTAATTTTAATAACGAAATTCCACATCTTTTCCTAAATTATTCATATGATATGTTTGTAAAAGATGCTCAACTTTGCTAAACTATTCTATGGAAAAACGATGATACATTCTAAAGTTGTAGTTAAATATTTATCAGGAACAACATGAAAATCCTATAGAGGAATTTTTAAAAAATGAACGGCGTTGGATAGAGTTTTATCAACATCTATCTTTGAAAATTATTTCCTTTCCAAAAATTTTTCCTTCGGATCTAGTATTGTATTCTGGTTATTTACTTTTATTCATGACACAGGTCAGACTAGCCATTTAAAATAGATTCATCGTCTAATACATATCTACTCGTTATACTAAAACTAACTCCAGATTTGGTATTATAACCGACAATTGAATCGTCCATGAATTGTTTGAAATATTTCTGAAAAACAATTTCTTTTATCGAAAGCATCACAAGTGATTCACTCGGTAGATCTCGTTCAGAAATATCTTCAATGAAAGTTTTTTTATTCATATAGTTTTATCATCTAATCTAACAATATTTCAAATCAAATTACACATTTGCCTTGAAAATTCTAAATAGTTTTTGTTGAAATCTGTAAGTCATGAACTCGTCGATTTGTCTTTTCCGTAAGTTGTAGCCAAAATATGATTCTAAGGAAGCTGAAACTTTTTTAGAAAAATGATGGTTTTTCTGTATAGATGACAAGAAAAAATGTTTGCTTGTTATTTTCTTCGTCTAGAGCAACGTAGAGAGTTATTCTATTTATGGATTCATGAAAGAGGAAAAGCATGACATGAGGGCAATACTTTTTTTTAGTCATAAACAAACAATCATAATCCACAGAAGCAAGTAGACGACATAAATAGTTTTCAATTAAAAATCATCAGAACTAACTAAAAGCAGTAGAGATCAGTTTATCTTCTAGTAATATGCCAAATTAGTAGCCATCAAATAAATATCTGTATTAATTCAGTTGAGAAAAGTTCCGTACAACAAAAAGCAATCTATAAAACGAAAATGAATATTCCTAAACTGCACATCGTAATAAAAAAATTAATTTCTAGGAATCAGCTATATCGATTTGAATATATCGAAATATGTTTTAGATGTGATAATGATGTATATCGTTTAGAATAGCATACGAAAAATAGCTTGTTGACAGTAGATTGTTCTGATGATTTTATCGTCCATATTTTAATAAACTATCGATAACGAATCAATAGCTATGAGGAATCCGAACTTCGTTCGTATTTATTCTTTGATAGGAACAGAAAGGAGAAGTCAGCAAAATACACACACATTGCATTTTACATACTAGATATTTTTTCAGGTACTGTTCTTTCGCAGCTCATCGATATTTGAAAAAAATTGAGAATTATTTTCGTTGAGTTAAATAAGTTGTTACTATTGATGAAAAAATTTTAGTGATTCTTGTAATAAAAAATAAAATCTTGAAATGTATATTGGTTTGAATAGATGAAAGCGTATTCAATAATGAAATAATACTGAGCTGTAGAAGCAAAAGTAGATGTCAATGTTTTTTGAATACAAAGAAAAAGGAAACTAGAACGCATCTGAAATAGAATGCTATGATAACAAATTCTTTATTGGTGCAGAATATATTGATAGTTTTCGGATTTCTGTTTGTTATAAAGAAGAGAAAATAGAAGTTATCAATCTTCTCTTAAAAATTAAATATTGATCTTCCAAATCATCGAAAAATCGAATTAAAATTTATACTTTACTGAATTATCAGCGTCTTAAGCTACAGCAGTATAATCTTAACATCAAAATGGGTCTGCCATAGATAAAATCCCATGGGCAATAGCTATTTTAAAACGGACACAAACATAATCTTTCCTTCGTTGCTTAAATTTAAATTTGATCGATAAATTCAATAGTTTCGACATCACAATAGAAAACATGTTCATCCATTTCAATTATTTTCAAAACGAAAAAAGATGAAATGAAGATTTCAATAGTTAGGCTACTAGATAGATCCTACATATAATCTAAAAACAAACCTTTGCAACAATAAACTCTGAATTAATTCAATTATTAATGATTTCAGTCACTCCGCTCCGAGCACCTGTTATTGATATTCATCCAAATGCTCGCTGGGAACAAAATGGTATTACGATAGCTGGAGGAAATGGACTAGGCAATAGTATCAATCAACTAGCATGGCCACGGGGTTTCTTTGTTGATGATGAGCAAACCATTTATGTCGTCGATGAATTAAGTCACCGTATTATGGAATGGAAATGGAATACGACAAGTGGTCAAATGGTTGCTGGAGGAAATGGACAAGGAAATGGGACTCGTCAATTGTTTAACCCATTCGATGTGATTGTCGACAAGGAGACAGATAATCTCATTATCTGCGATCGTTTGAATAACAGAGTAGTTCGATGGCCTCGTCAAAATGGAAGAAGTGGAGAAACAATCATCTCCAATATCGATTGTCGAGGCTTGACAATGGATGAAAATGGATTTCTCTATGTTGCTGACAATAGTAAAAATGATGTGAGACGATATCGAATAAGAGAATCGAAGGGAATAGTGGTTGCAGGTGGTAATGGACGTGGATATCGTCTCGATCAACTCTCTTCTCCACAATACGTATTCGTCGATCGAGATCATGCAATCTATGTATCTGATACGAGAAATCATCGTGTGATGAAATGGATGGAAGGTGCAACACAAGGCATTGTGGTGGCTGGTGGTCAAGGAGATGGAAATGGTCTTGCACAATTGAATCATCCTTTTGGAGTCGTTGTCGATCAGTTAGGCACTGTCTATGTGGCTGATCAATCGAATGATAGAATCATGCGTTGGCCCAAAGGAGCTACAGAAGGAATTGTCATTGTTGGTGGAAACGGTGAAGGAAGCCGATTGAACCAGTTCAATGGCCCCAGTTGTTTGTCATTCGATCGACATGGCAATCTCTATGTCGTTGATAGCGGAAATCATCGAGTACAAAAATTTTATCTCGCCTCAAATGCTTAGAACACCATAATAAATATGATTCGATTACTTTAAAACTGTTTTATTGTATTCATCCGCGCACATGACATCGAACTATTTCACAATGTCCTTCGCTGGTATTTGCACTGTCAATCTGAATAGACCTGATAAAGTTTTATTAATGAATAACTCACTATTCCACCTTAAAGGAAATTTCTTGTAACGTTTTAGAGCTAAAATAAAAGAATAATTTACCGAAGTTGTATTTAGTGCAATGTGATGAATCTAAAAGGAAAAGAAAAAAAAATATTTTTCGAAAAAAAAATATCCAGAAAAAGCTCAGAATTCACCTAGATAATACTTGAAAAAGAAATAAAATTACTTACTTGAAATTAAATAAAAGTTTTTGTTCAGTTTTCTGTATTTCTACAAAAAAAATGAGTAGTGCTTTATTTCTATACGATTTGGTAGAGCATCGATTACTCTTTCTAATTAATTCTTTTCATTTAATTCATAGTATGATAAGGAATTTCCTTTGTTTTTATTTATCACACTATCTATTCTTTGTCAAGTATATATGTAAGTTTCAAAAAAAATTAGTGATTTTCTAAGGATTTTCTAAAAGGATGTTTTAAATTCTTTATTCTTTTAAAGTGAATTATAGTGACATGAATCATCGCAATATTTTGGATTCAGTACATCATCGAATGGACTATGAACTGTTATATAAATTCATGTAATCTTAATTTAATTTAATTCAAAGATCTTAAATGTTAATACGAGATGAATCGTCTGATATCGAAAAATTTAGTTCTATAAAAAAGTCTAAAGTCCGAATAATACTATTGAATTTTCTCCTTCAATGCCAAACAGTATCGTTTAATGCTTTGTATGACACTAAGCTCGGTGAATCCTAGGCTGTTGGTGTGAGTGTGTGGGTGTGGTGTGTGTTGGGGTGGATGCGGTTGCATATTCATGTTGATATTAGCCACGACCACACCCACACACCCACATCTCATCCACACCCCACATCTTTTTGAAAAACATTGCTGTTCATTAGCTTTTCTTTTTTATTGTCGTGATGGAAGGTGTAGGTGTGAGTGCTGTTGGAGTGTGGCTGTGGCTGTGGGTGGGTATAAGTGTGTAGAAAATAGGGCACCCACACCCACAGTCATCGCCGCACCTCGCACCCACACCCCAAGATAGGTCAATAAACTCCGAATAATTTCCTGTAGGGTGTTGGTGTGTAAATGCGAAGTATGGGTCTCAATCTCAGGCCGTTCAAATCCGTATCCATGTCGATTGGCAAATGTCCACACTTATACTCTACAGACGTGAAGAAATTCTTGTGTCTTATTTCTTCTAGTTTCTGCAAAAACAGAATTCAATAAAATCATCCATTTTATAGAAATAGTTATTCTTCCCAACTTTCGTCTTTCACTTATTATTCTTTCAGATTTTGCTCTTCATTGTCTTCAGTCAAAGAGTGAATAGCACAAGCAAGATAATTGCATTAAAATTTTGCTGAAGTAATAATTGAATATAAACTTCTACATGTATCTCAAATATACTATATTTATGGTTACGATATGAAGAAAATAAAAATGAAATACGTACTTTGTATGAAACTCTATAATATACAGTACCCGCCATAAGTGGGTACGAGCTCGTTTTCTTGTTCAATAATGATTTTTATTTTATCTTTTTGCTTTGTTTGAACGGGCTAGTCGGGCTCATCGTCCGGTATAAATAGGAGCATTTATATTCCTTCTGTTATCAATTTATAACTTAATAAAAGAATAGGGGGTGGCGACTTAGTATTGGCGTTGGCATTAATTAACACTGATTCTAGAAACGCCACGCCTAGGGAGAGCAAGATGGAGCAAAAGTGTTGGAACAAAAAAGATGCACAAGGCGTATCTGCGTAGAATAATTACGTTAAATTTTTCAATTTAATAGATAATGAAAAATTTTTCAAAATGAATGCATTATCTTTTTATTTCGATATTAAAATTCATATTTCTCAATTATTATATGCATAATGGTATATTTTAACAAAAATGATCACAGCTATCCTATGCGGGTGCGCCTTGTGCATCTTTTTTATTCCAGCACTTTTGCTCCATCTTGCTTTCCCTAGGCGTGGCTTTTGTAAATTAGTATTAATTAATGCCAATGCTAATACTAAGCCGCTACCCCCTATTCTTTTATTAAGTTATAAATTGATAACAGAAGGAATATAAATGCTCCTATTTATACCGGACGATGAGCCCGACTAGCCCGTTCAAACAAAGCAAAAAGATAAAATAAAAGTCATTATTGAACAAGAAAACGAGCTCGTACCCACTTATGGCGGGTACTGTATATGTACAGGGTGGGTCAAAGTCACGTTACCAAGGAAAAATTGAGTATCTTCATTACGGCTGGATCGAACGAGCTCATTTTTTTTTCTATCAAGGATAGAGACATGTTCACATTACAAATCCATACAGACAACGATCAGTGAGAACCTTTGTCAAGTATAACTATTGACCTCGATAAGAAAATTTTGCCTTTTTGCGGGTAGAAAAAAAACCAATGCACAGGATGGTACAACAGTCACTTTATCGAAAACAAAATTGAATATCCCTATTACGGCTCGAGCAAGCAAGCTGATTTTTTTTTACCAAGGATAGAGGCATATTCACACTCAATATTAGTCAGAACGTTTGTTAAATATAGTATTTTCTTTTCATATCTGTGAAAAAATAACATTTTCTTGTTGAGGTCAATAGTGATACTTAACAAAGTTTCTCACTAACCTTGAGTGTGAATATGTCTCTATCCTTGGTAAAAAAAATGAGCTCGTTTGGTCGAGCCGTAATGGAGATACTCAATTGTTTCTGGGTAAAGTGACTTTTGATCCACTCTGTATATCGTGCTGCAATATCGTAATGCCCTAAAAACTTGGTAATTTTATGGATTCACTCTAAATGCTTACGAACATACAACAGTAGGTGATCAAATAGGTTCATTATAGCTCCTCTTTTATTTCAAGTACACGGAATTTGAGTACAATTTTCATGACTATTTTACTAGTGCATCATATACAAACCAACTATGCTGTATTTTTTTTCTATACAAATTCTTATTGAAAATCGACTTATACTTAGGGAACGTTTCAAAATGTTTGCCGGTCGGCCGGCCGCTCTGCCGTTCAGCCGCTCGGCCGCTATGCCGTTCTGCCGCTGTGCCGCTCTGCCGTTCTCATGCCGCTCTGCCGTTCAGCCGTTCTGCCGCTCTGCCGTTCTCGTGCCGCGGCATAACGGCACAACACATTTTCGTTTTAATTACATTTTGATAGATTAATTGTCTCCTTTGATGTATGTATACGTATACATCATGTATATTTTTCTATTTCTATTCAATATTCTTGAGCTCTAGACTATTCATTTTCTTGAAAAATGATGATTTTTTTAATTCATAATAAGACTTTCGTTCAACTTGATCACGTTGTAAACGTGATAATGATATTTGTCTCATTCTTTCTTCAGACCTTTTTGTTTTCTTTTTTTGAACATCAACTATCTGTAGCTTCGCATAACAAATAATTCTTTAAAAAGTACTTGAAAATTTGATGAAACGTGTTTTAAATGAATTAAGTTGATAGAGAATAGCTAGTGCCAAATTGAATATGTATTTAAACTGTAATTTATGAAAAA